ATTAATTCTCTCCCCTGCTGTGTCCAGTTTTGATGTCTTTTTGCCTTCTGAAGACATCTTGAAAACCAGATGCAATGTTTCAAAATATACAGTAGTTCTGTTCATGCACACATGTTACACGTGTATGTATGGACTTGTTCCGCCAAGTAAAATATTAAGTGCAAATCTTTCTTGATTTATATTTGTGCCGAGTTTAAATATGCCACTGCCAGTGTCAGTCGCCATCTTGTTTACAGTAGAAACCATAAGCACTTAAACGCGCGCAGCTTTGTTAATTACTTTTATTGCATTTATGTTCCTCTTAGTTGCTAGCAAGGTTTTAGTACTGTTATTTTGTTCCTTTTTCTCAAAATAAGCTGATATGGTAAACATAATTGCTCTCTGTCCAAATTTTTTGATGATAACTTGTACTAAGTACTATGCACTTCGCTGACAGAGTGCACGCCTACGAAAAAGTTGCTCGAAAATCGGTAATGTCAACACGACTGGTCAACACGGTAAGCCAACAAAATAACTATCCATATCAGTTATTTTTCCATTCACAAAGTCAGAAGTTTGATATGTTGTTTTGAGATTTATATTACAAGTGAAAATAATGGTTAATATAAACAGGCCCTTTTCCAATGATGCAGATTCTACACAATATTATAATTCCTTGTCCACGGTAGCACGGACACAACTCTATAATTTGTCCCAGAGTTGCAAGCTTTGTTTAGAATTTAGAGCTTGGGTTCAGATAAATCACACAAGTACACTTGAATGCAGCTGAGGGTAAACTTCCGACGAGTATGTCTTGTATACTTTATGCAACAATGGGTTTGCTACATGTATTTTAGGATACAATTTCTGAGAGAGCGTCATTGATCACCCTGCAATGTAGTCCTAGGTGAAGAAAACATGGTGAGAGAACCGTGATTGAGCAAAAATGGGGACAGGTAGTTCCTTCTTCCGCCACCAGGATGAAGATGATCTTGGTGATGGGGTCATAAAGCGCATTCCCATCGAGGTCAAGCCTCGTGGAAAACTGGGGCTGCGATCTGTGGGGTCACTGGGTAGGAAACCCAAAGGTGGTAGCCTTCGTTCCGCCCTGTCTGTTGACTTGGAAAACCCAGAGGTGGAGAGAATCAGGAGAGAATTTGAGATGTATCGCCTCAACAAGGAAAATGAACTTGCAAATGTTCAGAAAAAGGAGCAGAAACTTGATACTGAAAATAAGAAGCTCAGGACAGAATTACAGGCTTTACAGCAGATGTGTCGCAAGCTGAAGAATGAAAATGATATTGCCTTAGAGGCTGAGCAACAGGCCCTAGAGAGAGCATTCACATTCGAGAATGACAGAAATAAAGTTCAAAGACAATTTAAGGTATTTTGATATAAGACAAATACATTTATTTAAACAGTGTGCTCCTTAGCTGTAATAGTTAACGTAAATATCACTACTCTGAAAACTATTCAGTGCATTGCATTTTGCATTTATCTTATCTGTTATTGAGGAGTTTGAGCATTGTTGCAATGCTATCAGGCCAAAACACCATCCATTAACCATTTTGAAATGAAATTATTTGTCTTTTTAAGATGTGTTTAAGGCCCTACAGGTGATTTATGTTAAACAAAATCTTAAATAAATTTATTTACTTTCAGATATTCAGGGAAACCAAAGAAAATGAGATTCAGAATCTGCTTAAAGCTAAGCGTGACTTGGAAAACAAGTTGTCAAGGCTGTCCCATGGTTTGATAGTGGATGACTTGGACTCTGGTTCAAGAAGGTCCAACAGTCTGGACAATTTAGGTAGGGCAATTTACCCAAGAATGCTGATAATGTAAAATCTCCTTAATGAGAGTGGTCAGTTAAAGTTTTAGAAATTATTATGTTGTTTTTATATTGGGAATGTGTAAAATAAAGTAGAGTAATGAGAGTGGTAAGTAGAAGTTTGTTGTAGAAATTATTATTTGTTTTTATATTAGTAATGAGTAAAATTATATAGAATAATGTTGTCCATCTAGGAGGTGGTCAGTCAGGAGACTGGTGGACAAACCTGGACAGTGAACCTTCAATGGGCAGTACATTACAACTACAGACCTTCATCAACAGAGGGGGACCAGAGTTTGCCCACAGTATTGTAGAGCTGGACGGACCATTCACAAATGTCACCAAAGGTAAAAATGAACATTTTTAAGTATTCAGTACTAAAATATGTCAAAATTTTCCCTTTTTTTTCCTGAAAAGATACAGATAAGTGGATGAAACTTATTGAAATAAAAACATCAATAATTGGGTATTTTTGATACGCTGCTGCTATATAATTCAATTTAAGTTTCACGAAATGTATCAGCTCATATGCAGGAAAGTTATTTCTTCAGATGACTGGAATGCTGCAGCAGCAAGCTTGGCTCAAGTCACTCCCATTCTCCCAACTCAGCCAGTCAAAAATACCATCAGGGTCTACATATGTGCCAACAAGGACACACTGGATGAAGTGAAGCTTTTCAAAAGGGTGAGTGTACAACATATATCTGTTGTAAAAGAAGATACTGTTAACAGTGTTTTGTATTGAACTTACAAGAATTGTTTTTAATGTATTATCTGATGATTTTAGTGTTGAGGCAGTAGTGATTTTTTTTATATTTTCCCTTTTTTACACAGGAGCATGTTCCTGAGCTTGATAGACTGGTCTCAAGTGAAGGCAGGTCCCTGGTTGTAGTACATATTCAACAGGAGGAAGACACAGTCCCTGTATGTACTTTACCTAAATTCATACAATAAAAAGACATATTTTCCCCTTAAGTATTCTTTTTAGTTAATGTGAGATTTCCATTTTATGTTAAAAGTGTCACGAACATTTCAAAGTTCTGAGTTTCAAAGTTATGAAAATAGTGCCCCTGTTCCTTTATTTATTTATTTATTTATTTATTTATTTATTTATCTTCAAATTCATATAAGT